GGGGTTGCGGCCGGCCCCGCCGCCCCCAGCCGGCTCGCGCCACGGCGCAGCGGGAGAGCTGATGCTGTCGCTTGGCCCCAGCTGTGTGATGCTCTTGCATGCGAAGGCTGTAATCAAGCGCGTGGCTTTCCGAGGGCCTCAGCGCTCAATCACACTGAGTAATGGTGCTTACGCAACCGGGTTACGCTGCGGGGAGCTTCTCGCCAATAGAGGGCTGTGACAGCCAGGAGCGGGGCCCGGGGAGGCAGTACAAGCCTTACGTGTGGCAAGGACTCCTGCTTCTGCCCTCTGGCAGCAGCAAGGCCCCAAAAGTAGCTGGGTTTACTGCTAATTACAAAAAGTGAGCGAGCGAGAGAGTGTATGTGTGCTTGTATGTGGCTTTTTTTTATTTTTTTTTGGATTGTTTTGCACCCAAAGTGAAACCCCCTCTTTCGGCCATGAGCCAAGCTGTTGGGAGCAGTGCTGGCACTGGGAGCGCTTTGTGAGGTCTGGGAAGTACAGCCTCATGGGTTCAACCCTGTGCCAGCGAGATGCAGGTCTTCAGCGAGCAAGCTGCTGCTGATCTGGGGAGAGGGGAAAGCGAAAGACTGGTCCCTGCTCAACTCCTAGAAAAAGGTGTCCGACCTGGCACTGCTCCCCTCCCAGCCCCATGCTGAGGGGCAACCACAGGGGGTGACGTGCTGGCTCCTCCTCCTCTCCAGGGGCTGGATTCGTGTTTTGGCCTGGCAGCCAAGTGCTGTCTGTGGGAGAGGGCTGTGAGGCAGGAAAGGGCCCGGGGTGGTCCCTGCAAGGAACAGCCAGTCAGGACAAAAAGCAGCCCCTGATTTGGGAAGGGGCTGGGGTATTTCACAGACTGCAGCAGTGGTTCCCCACGTCGTTGCACCGCAGTTTCTCCTGGTGCTGTGCAGGACACACAGGGGTGACAACACCAGGCCAGTGGCTGGGTGAAGTCATTTTATTCAAGGCACGGTCATAGCAATAAGTAACGAGAAGGTACAGACCTCTGGCACATTCCTATAGCATGGCAGCCAAGGGCAAGTCAGGCCAGGACCCAAGGACACAGTGATGCTCACAGGCACTTGCTCCCCCCTGGAGAGAGCCCACGGTGTTTCTGGTGGGGCCGGGAGCATCCTGCTGGCCCCAGCCAGGGGCTCTGGTGCCAGGCATAGGCAGCAAGGATGTCAGCTGAGCCCCTGGGCATGGGCACTGGAGATGAGTGGCCATGTGGGTGCTGAGGGGTGTTTTGGGGGGCTGTGATGGCAGGACAGGCTGGCTGGGCTCAGGGCCCTGCCAAGGTGAGCCAGGGAGATGGGTCTGGAATGCAGGTACAAGAATGGAAGGGAGGGATGCCAGGGTCCTCTTGAGTCCTATGGAACCCTGGGCTGCCTTTTAACACCCTGGGACTTGTGCACCATGCTTCCCACTCCCAACAGCCCCAGTAGCATCAAACAGGGCATGCAGTGCATGGTGGTCCTACACCTCCATCTCCCTAAAAGCCCAGGTCCACGGGTTGGACCTGCTGTGCCACCCCTTCCTGCAGTGCCCAGGGCCCAAGTGGCAGAGGGACAGGGTGCTCTCCTGTCAGTGTAAATTGAACACAAAGTTTTCTGGGCAGGAGAAAGACCAAGTCTAGTTCACCCCCAGACCATGGGCCATAGGGCATGATGGGGCAGGCACTAGCTCAGCTGTCAGCCTTGCCTAATGGTGCTACATCTCCTTGGGTCACTGCAGCCGAGGCGGGAGAAAGAGCCCTGCTGCTAGGCGGACACAGCCAGGGGAAGGCCTCCGGCTCTTAGAAAAGAACATGATTTCCAGCACTTCCTTCTGGTTTCTGGGAGCTCCTCGTGGAAGGGCCTGAGCTTGTTGGAAATGCCACCCTCTCCCTTAGTACAGCGCAGAGGCTGTAGGGGCTCCGTGGGGCGCCTGGCATCTTGGTCCCTCCTGTGGGCGTCCTCCCAGGTACTGGCCACAAACCTGCTGAGCCTGCCTGCTTGCACGGGGAGAAGCAGCTACCCCCAGCCCCAGTTTTAACCAAGCTGCGATGCTGGAGCCTCTGCCTCAGTGTGAACACCCCCCCCCGCCCTTCCCTCTCTCCTTGCCCCAGGTAGGGAGGCAATGGTGGCTGCAGTCGCTTTGAAGGCAGCAGGGGAGCGGAGAGAGTCCTTGTAGGCAGTGCAGCTTCTCTGTCCTTAGGAGGTGGCACTGTGAGGCTGGGCCCAGCTATGCAGGGCCAGGAAGCAGCACTTGGTGGGTATAACAACTTGTGCTGCCTTTGCTCGCCAGGGACTGGGCTGCATTGGAGAGACCAGCCAGGCTGTAAGGTGCTGAGCACAAGTCAGTTCTGCAAGGAGAATGCACTGGAAGGGGCAGTTTTGCAATGCAAGATGCTCCCTTTCAGCTCACCCACAGGGCTGTGACCCACACGGCACCTGAGAGGTGCAGCTGCACACATCGGTGCTGGGAGGAAAGGGAAACCTCAGGCACTCAGGGTCCAGCGGTGCCAGCCACGCAGCTCACGAGGAGCCACACTCACCTCCAGGGCTGGAGCATCAGCTTGTGATTTCTGCAACCAACACGACAGCCCCCTCACACCCTGACCCCCAAAGCATGGCTCTGCTCACACACTGGTGCAGTACTGCATCAGAAAAGAGCAAAAAAAAAAAACCACAAAACCCAAACCAAAAACAAACAAAAAACCCAGCTTGAGACCACAGTAAGGCTGAACAAGGACCCAGTAGCACTCAGGCTGATTAGCTTTGCAGAAGAGGGGCTGAGTGGGACAAGGATCTCCATCCCCTGCATCCTAGGGAACTACGCAGCCACTGAGAGACAGCCAAAAGCCCTCAAGGCCACAGTGCAGGCATGTACATGCTGACCCTGGCAGGATTTACATTGAGAGGCAAAGAGGGTTGTGGAAAAGCCTCCTGGGCTGCAGCCAGGCACAGGGGCCAGATGCTGCGCTGTGACAGGAGCCATGACCTGGAGGAGGTGGTCCCACCAAACCCCATTTCTCTGGCAGTGGGATGGAGCCATGGGGGCTCCTGCAGCAGCCCCAGCGAGAGCACCACCGCACAGAGCGCCTCCAGGGGCAGTGGGATGATGGGCGCCAAGGAGGAAATGCTGTCACTACCATTAAACACACACTTCCCTGGACCTGACCCATCTCTCCAAACACTTGGCTAAAGAGCACAAGCATTTTCAAGCTGCGGAGGGATGAGACAGGAAGAGAAGGATGGCAGGGTAAGCAGGACGGCCACTGGTGACAAAGCTGAAGCCATCACTAGTGCCTCACTGTGCAGCACTGAGAGGTTGCCATGTCGTTGAGGAGCTGGGACTGTGCTTCCAGGCCTGACTTGAGGAAGGGACACTGGTGCCCAGGAAGACCCAGCCCGAGCTCACCCAGGCCTGCATGGCCCCAGAATTCAACCCCGTACGCTCATCCACTCAAAAGCACAAGTGTCTCAGAGGCCCCCGCTTTAATTGGCAAAGCCTTCGTGCAGCTCACGGGCAGCATGGGCGACACGCTCTTGAGCCAGCGTGTGGGCTGGTGGGCACCTGGCTGAGCTGGGCACCAAGGGGCAGCGCAGGGCCGCCGCGGGCAGCGGCAGCAGCAAGTGGGAGCAGGGGGAAATGGAGGTTTGGCAGCTGCACCTGAACGTGGATGGCTCCGGCGGGGACCTGCAGGGCTGTGCTTGGCCGTCCGACACATTCACTTGAGCTGTCTGGGATATCTCTGCCTCCCGGCAGGGTCACAGCTTTGAGTGGCCATTAAGAGAGATCCTCTCCCCACACTGCTGCACCCCTCTGCCCTGAGCCAGGAGCAAGGGAGGGCACAGGCAGCCCAGCCGGGTCCCCAGCGGAGGCAAGGAGCTGTGGAGGGGGCTGCAGCGCAGGGGTGTGCGGAGCTGGGGTGGGGGGGACAGGGCGCTCTCCCACACGTCACTCCTGCTGCCCCCCGGCCCCCAGCCCTGCCTGCCTGC